GCGACCTCCTAGGGTTCCGAGCCTACCTCGTTCCAACTGAAAGTGCTTGAAGATAGCACGCAACATGATTCTCCCTACGGGCATCCCACCTGACGAGATTCTCTCTTGTTCAACCATATTCTGAAACAAGAGCCCGAACTTACCTTTACGGCAGGTTTTAAGGAGCTTTGCGGCTACTTCACGATCTAACCGTGGGAAACGCTTGTCCGCGATGAGTTCTTGCTCGGTGGAGGACATGCATGCTTGGGCCCACTGGTAAACTTCATCTCCGGGGGTCTTCTGGAGTCGACCGATGGCCATCAAAACTTGGTTGACGAAACCTCTAGCCTGACCAGCGTTTTCCGGAGGGGATGGTAGTACAAGATCCTTGAGATCCTTGACGCGGACAACGGACTCCTCATATGCGGCGTGATCTACGGCGGTCAAGCCTACACTGGGATCGGCAGCTTGAGACGGGTCTGCATTGGGGAACTGGCCAGAGCCTCCCCCACCTCCCCCACCACCATTCATCATGGTGAGGTGTGGGCAATCCGTGTCTTCATGGCTGCCGCCGCAAACTCGACATTGTGGGGTATCATCATCTCCATCGAGTCTGATGATGAGTCGGAGCTTGCGGCCGATGGCGCTTGTGGGGATGACGAGTACAACCCTCCCAACATTGTGATTGGTACTGGCGGAACACGAGTGCCGTTGCCAGCTTTTGGCGGAGGCGGCGCCCCTGCAAGGGGCATGGGAGGCGCTGGAGGTGGTGCGGCCGGAGGCGGAGGTGGCGGAGCCACTTGATTAGCAACCAATTGGGAAAGCTGCTGAACCATTTCCGCTAAAGCCGTCACTTGCACTCTCACATCGGCCTGATCCCTTGTACCGTCTCTACCCAACCCGCTAGTCCTTGACGCGCCGGGGGCCGCGTCTCCAACAGAGGACGCTGCTCCTAGCACTGCCGAATGGCCTGCGAGATGTTGACTTGTTGCACCCCCGCCAGGGTCCCTTGAATCAGCTGGGGCATCGTGACCAAGTCCTGAACTTTGAACAGAACCACACGGAGGGTCGGGGATAGTACTTGTAAAAGCATTCCCTTGCGACGATGCGGCAACACCGGAGGCATCTTGTGAATCTGAAACCTGAGGTGCTCCAACCGGCTGATGGGTTCCTCAAGGAACTGTGCCCTGACTTGAGGCTTTAGCCGCGCTTGATTCCGTAGCTGTTTCGGCTATTGATGCGGCTTTTGGCGGGGACTCTTGAATCGGAACAGGGGTCGCACGAGCTTGTTGGGTGAGGTGTGCAACAACACGTTCGAGATCACCAAGTCGTTGATGCATCACAGAATTTTCCTGGGACAATCCACGAATGGTATGCTCTTGACTGGCAATGGTTTGTTCTCTTTGCGAGATTGCCTGTTGAGCCTCTTGAACAATGCGTTGAACCTCTTGCTGAGCGTCCTGTTGAGTGGCATTAACAACCTGTCGCGCGTTCTCGACATGGCCAATGGCTTCCTGTCGGGTCTGCTCGATTAGTTGCCTAGCCTGAGCCTCACTCTGTTGCGCTGTTTGTACAGCCTGCTGTGCTTGCGAAGCTAGCTGAGCAGCCTGAACCCTAACATCTGACACTTCTCTTACAGCCCTTTCCCTGATCCATCCGGCCTCTTGTCTCGCCTGGTCGGCGGCCTGCTGTTGGTGCAAGGCGTGATTGGCTGCCTGAGCAGCGAGGTCGGATGCTCGATGAGCTTGCTGCACCGCAGCTCCAGCAATAAATGCGGCAGCCGGTACGTTAGTCATCGGGTCGGGTAATTGCGATCCCTGTTAAGGAAACTGAATGGCTGGGGAAGCTTCGGATGATGTAGGTTCTGACACGATCGGACCACTTGGGGGTGATGATGGTCGTGTTTGAGCTGCTCGTTGAGGTGTGGATGTGCGAGCTGTGGACATAGCTGCAGGAACCATGGCTAGGTCAGGGTCATCCGGTTCAGAATCCCTATTTGGGGTTGACCTTGAACGGGGTTCTGAGGGCGGTGATAAGCCCGTTGAAGCCATGACACAGCAATGCAATTTTGCACTCACACGAAGCTAGCTCCACGCGCTTTGAGCAGCATGTCAAAAGGTGCTACGAGGAGATATCCCTGGATTGGCAGCTGGTTGCGAAACGCTCAAGTGAGCCACTCAAGAAAATACGCCCTGCTGCTTTGCACCTGATGAATTCTGTATTTGTAATTGTACTTGTAGATTGATTGATCCGCCCTGCCGCACTATGGTGCTTTATCGAAGGATGTTGCCAAGCTGTATTGAGAATAGTCTGCAAATCGAATGCCTGTAGCTGCAAAGATGCTGTACCGCGCAAAGCGACGGTTTTAACGGCTTGCAAAGAAAGGCTATCGAAGTACCCGATTGGCGGGCAACTGGGATGCAGACCGATGGAGCTCCTCGAGGTACTGCGAAGGGTGCAGGCCCCTTGCCGCCGGAATGAAAAGTCGATTCCGGGACTCGATGTACTCCCCAACGTTCTCAAGCGCGTTGGCAAATCCGCTCGGCCCAAAATGCGGAAAGTTGCGGAACGCTGCGATGCCTGTCTTTTGCGCTTCACGGACAATCGCAGCTGTATCGTCGATGAGGACGTGAGCACCTATCCCCAAGAGGGCGTCTGCTTTGCCGCCCCTGCCCAACCTTTCGTGTACGATTTTTATCGCAGAGAAAGTGAGTCCAGCTGTCGCGCGCGCGTGCTCCAGAACGACCTGGAACTCGCGGCGGCGAAACTCGCTTGCAGCCCTTCCCACGAAGGATAGCACCACAAAATTGATAGGTGCGTAGCCGGTTGCAAACTGAACGAGATGCCGGATCACCTCCGGGTTGAGGTGGGGTCCCTGCTGCCCAACGTCAAGAACTCCGTGCCAGTCAAGAGCGATGGTGAGCTCCTTGGGCGGCACTGGCCTTGTAGGCGGCGCAGGTGGCGCAGGCGGCGGCCTTCTTGGTGGCGATCGAAAGCGTGTGCCAGCCTCGGAAGTTGCAGCGCTTGCAGCAGCTGCTTTAACGACCTGCGGCGGTGGCGGCTTAACGAGGTACCCTTGTGGTGGGTTTGAGCCCGATTTGCTTCTGGGTTCGGCCTTGTTCAAACCTCGCGGAGGCGCCTTGTACCCGAATGCACTCTGAGTCCGAATAGGAGACCTTGCTCGAGGCGGTGATTTCCTTGGAATATCTGCTTTTGCCGGTACCGAAGAAGCTGCACGAGGAAGTTCCTTGGGCAATGGAGGCTTGCTGCCAAAAATGACCTTTGGTGCGGCCTTTGGTGGCGGCGGTTGAATTGCTCCAATCCCCCGGCTATGCAAAGCAATAGGCTCAGTGTGAGTCGGTGCCTCGTATACGCGCCGAGGCACGTAAGCTGACCTGCCAGTTCTGAGGGATTCCGCGTCCTGCGGAGGCTCCTCTTCTGTAGGCGTCGAGACGATAGTGCTCCGCTGGTCCTGGGCGTCGATCTGGAGATCGTGATCGCGAGCTTGTGGATGATCTTCTTGGGGGATCTCTCCACGTCTCGTCCGCAAGCAAATACGGGTCAGCCTGACGCCTCACGTGGCTGTGAAGCCTCCCGAACGAGTACCCAAGTGCCGTGCTCGTCAAATCGTGTCACAGGGTATATACTGTTCTGTGGAGCCAATACGATGGGCCGTGTGGCAAGGGAAGTCCTGGATGGTCTGCCCTCCCGCGCAAGCGCGGGTTCAACACTGTGTGCCCGATGTTCCACAGGGGTAGCAGCAGTCGGTCCTCGTCTCGGAGGCGATGGAGACCTCGACCTTCGTGGCGATGGGGACCTCGATCTTTGTGGCGACCGTTCCCTGCTGCTCTCCCGCCGCGTTTCCGCAGCTCTAGCGTATACCCCTCGAAGTGCTGTCTTGGCGGCACCTCGCAACACTTGTCTTTCCTCTGCTGATGGTCGGATACGAGGCAATGGAGCGCGCGAATCTTGTAGCCAGGATGAAGCTGAAGGAGGCGTAGGAGGGCGTAGCCAATCCGCTGCACTGCTTGCTGCTTCCGCCGCGCCAGAGGCTGCGGCTCTATCCTGAGATTGCACACCTTGCGGCAAGACCACACCTGTGGTTTCAACCGATGCGAGACGCTGCTGATAAGCGTTGTCCGCGGCCTGGATTACCTCAAAGGCTTCTTGGTCGAAATCCTACAGGTGCCAACTATCCAATGACTCACGCCAGGAAAAGAGCGCCTCGACCTGTTGCTTCGAGGCGTCTGCAAACCTGATCCACCGGAATCGTCTGTCCTGTCGCTTGTACTCGTTAACGACGATCTGTTGCAGAGTGTTGTACAGACGGGCACGCGGCCCTTTCCCACCGCGAGTGCCGCGGTGAGGGCCGACTTCCATGTGCGACCAAAAGGTCGCAGTCACGGAGGGGTTTGTTTACCCGAAAAGCGTTACGGCTGATAACCACTCAAAGGAGAGGGAAACACAGTTTTCTCAACAACGGGGGAACCCGGGACCTTAAAAGGAACGAACCCCGCCGTGACTGCGACCACTCCCTTAACCTTGTGGCAGCGCGTGCAACGCGCTCTTTTTCTTGAGCCAAATGACAACATGCGGACATGTTGTCCAGTCTTGCAACTTGTGTCATGGGTACCTACCTCATGAACCTCTGGGCCACAAATGTCATCGTGATAATTGACTAAAACACCCCAAAAAGTCTAAACCCAAAGTGGACAAGAACACATTTTAGTGCTTGTTGGTTTCACTTTTGGGCGGTTTGTTTTTCAATATTTCAACCAAAAAGGTTAAAGTCTAAAGATCCAACCCAATAGCAGTCAAGAACTGGTCCAAGGAAACATCAACTGGAACATCTCCAGGAAGTTCGCCACACCCGCAAAAAGCAAGGGAAGTTCACCAAATCCCCCAACAAAACCACGAAAGTCTAAAGATCCGTTGCCCAATAGCCGTCAAGTTGGTTGGTTAAGTTTGGAGGGACCCCCTTTACAGGACAAGAGGGCTCCGCTGCAGGTCAGTCAAGTCTCGTTGCCGGCAGCGGAGAAGCCGCTCCAAAGCGCGCCGGACAGGCCCTCTAGGGTGGGGGTGGCGAGGAGCCCCGTGGGCACGTAGATGTGAAAATCTTCCACTGACCTGGCCACAAAAAAAAACAGGACCCAAGCTCAAAGATTTGGGGCGTGGCGTGTTTTTCTTCGTTTTTTGCCATGGGTCAAACGCCAAATCGTACCCCCAGTAAACATCCCAATCCAACCACTAAAATTGGTTCAAAAATGGTACCATTGGTTTTGACCCACCACCTGGCCACAGAACTTCCAGAACTCCAACTCAAAGATATGGGGCATGGTGTAGTGATTGTTTTTCGGGCAGTACCCTCCCTTGTCACCCTTGGAATGTTCTGAAGGGACAACGCAAGAACAATCACCATCTTTGGGGTCCCCCCTCCCATTTTAGTCTACCAATATGTACGCAAGACGGTTGCTAGCCAAGCTAGAAGACAAACCACAGACCGCGCGGCCGTGGTGCTTTTTGGCCCGTCCGCGCCTGTCGCCCTCCGTTCCAAAGGGATATCCCAGCATCGAGCCTTCCACCAGGGGCGTCCGAAAATTTGACGCTGCCAGTCCATGTTTGGAACAGCCCGAAAACCGGAGGCTTAACTTTTTGGAACAGCCCCATTTTTGGAACACCCATTTTTGGCCAACTGAATTGTTTCTGATGTGAACTTCGGATTGATCCGGAGGCCAACTGAATTGTTTCTGATGTGAACTTCGGATTGATCCGGAGGCCAACTTAATTGTTTCTGATGTGAACTTCGGATTGATCCGGAGGCCAACTTAATTGTTTCTGATGTGAACTTCGGATTGATCCGGAGGCCTACTTCATTGTTTCTGATGTGAACTTCGGATTGATCCGGAGGCCAACTTAATTGTTTCTGATGTGAACTTCGGATTGATCCGGAGGCCAACTTCATTGTTTCTGA